CCCCAAAACCCCAAAACCCCAAAACCCCTTGGAAATTAAAGAAAATTGAACAGAATCTTATTTACCTCAACATTCAGAAACCTTATTTTCTGCGAAGTTAATCTCAAAATCGCTACCATACCAAGCTCTGAAATTTTTCCAGCTCTCCTTGGACACCAAGATATAGTCATGGAGCTCTTGAAGGTGAGATTTTAACTCATATTGAGACTCCTTGGGAGGAATGTAAGGAAGGTGATTCTCCTTATCTAAAAGATCACAATACAAAATACCTGAGCCAAGCTTAACTCTTTCTATCAACTGCTTGTTTATGATCTTCCCTGGCCTGGAGGATTACTGAGCAAGCTTACCTTGTATAAATCTCATTATACCTGTCGTCATTAGGGATGATAGAAAGCCTGCTATCATTGGACTTATCACAAGAGTTCCTTGAATCTTGAATTATTTGAATAGGTGCTTCTGCCTTTATGGCTTCTTGGTCAAAAGTCTTCATATCAAACTCAATATCGCTCTCTTCAGAGATCCTTAGAGTAGACCCTGGAGTTTTACTAGGAAGGAAACTTCCAGCTGCTAACCTAGTATCTTTGCAATGCTGGGCAAAGGTTTTGTACTCAATGTTGACAAAATCTCACCAGATCTTCCACCAGTCAGCTGGGAGGACATATTCAAACCGTTCTGAGATAGACTGGGCACAGATCAGTTGGTATTTTCTAAAGATAATATCTTTTTGCTCATTTGAAGACAAATATTTACAATAAGTCCCACAACTTTTCGATTCAGGATCTTTTAGATTTCTCGGTTCTCTACAAATACATGTCCCATCTAGCTTCGCAAGGGAGACATTCAGTGATTTGAATGAGTTCAGCTGCCTAACCTTCCTCATTTCATTAACTGACCGAGATATCAGAGGTTTGTTCCTTGGAGAGTTAGCATAACTACCTAACTTTTGATTGAAGTGCAGCTTTGTTCTATTAACAACTCCTCGTTTCTCAATTGAGCTCTCTAACATCAAGTTGGTTGGACCTGGAGTTCCTCTTTTTGACTCAAATTTAAATGACATGGGAGATTCTAAACAATAATTCCACAATCCGTACTACAACTTTCTGCAAAGTCAGATTGGTTGGGAAGCGTCTGCTCCACCCTAGAAAGGTCCTTCTGTTCAGCCAAATTCAGGAAAACAGTCTGAAGTGTATTTGACGTGAAACTTTTGTTCCTTTGCAACTTCGCTTCAAGGGATTCTGCCTTTTTACTATAAATCAGACCAAATACCTTACCGTTTGTATGGCTTCATCAGAGAGCTAGTCCTGTTCTTAACTCCCAGATCTTTGGAGACATAATGTCCAGTGAATAGAGGAAGCACAATGTCTTCTTCTTTATCATTATCATAAGTAATATCAGCCTTATCGTCATATGAGGGCTCTTGATTTAGACTAAAGTAAGCTCTAGAGCCTGCTCTTTGACTCTTTTTATCCCTCCTCAATTTGGTGGGTACACTGCTACTTTGAGGAGTTTGGTTATACTTCTGATCTTTTAGCTTCTGGTTCCTTGAAGAAGCAGCTTCTTTCCTAGCCTTAGTCTTGAACTTAGAACTATTACCCAAAACCGGACAATTCTGTGATCTCTGTGCAAGACCAAGAGGTTGTTTACCTCAATCAGTACTTCACTTCTGAGATTTTGAAGTAGCCTTCTTGAGTGAGAAAGCAAGCATACATTTCTCATACTTGCTGATCCTAGCTTTCATCTGGCTCATCTCCAGCTTTAAGTGGTTTACTTCCTGCACAAGTTTGCTCGAGTACTTCTTAAAGTACTCATGGACCTGATTCTGAATGTCGTCCTTCTTGGCTTGCACAGTGTCTTTGGACTTCTGTGTGAGCGGCCTTGTCGCCACATACCCTTTGCAATCTATAATGAGGTAAGTAGCTGAAAAATCTTGCTTAACGACTTTTAAGATCATTTGAGCTCGTGAATTGATAAAAGCTTGACAATTGGCGGCTTTATTAGCTTAAATTTACTGTATAAGACACGTTCATTATCTTGGCAATGCAGGCATTCAAACCCACAAAAGAAGTGTTCTTTAAATGAAGCAGTAGCAACTTTGGCCTAATAATTCTTACTTAATTCAGAAGTAGAGCTCACTGGACTGGACATGCCAATTGACCTGGCATCAATGTTCGATCTTTTAATAGCTGACTGGACTGAGCTTAAACTAATTTTGCCACTCATCCGACTCTTTGACAGTCTTTTTGCTTGCTTGGAAGCTTTCATCACATCTGAGTGTTCCTTTGCTCTATATTCGAATAAATAAAATTTTAGATAGAAATAGGAGGTTTCATAGAATGACTTGTTGTCTCGATGCTACAAATATCTCAATAAAGATTTCCAAAAGCTTTTGGAAGACTGAAAGTTAGTAATTTTCAAGAAGAAATAATACAATTTTAGACTTAACTAATCATCCAAAACAGATCGAGAAAGTTCTTACAAGGGTTGAGTAGACTGAAGGGATGCCCTTGCTCTGAGAAAAGTCCCTTTCTTAGCCTTACTAGACTCCTTTCCAACCTGCTTAGGCTTAGTATACAGAGACTTGTATTTCGTACTCCCCAAAGAGGATGGGTAACCTTTCAACTTCTTCATAGCTGACATGCTAACAGAAATTATTTTAAATTTTCAATAAATTCAGAAATTTCAGGGGTTTTGGGGTTTTGGGGTTTTGGGGTTTTGGGG